TCGTTGCATTATTACTCTCATTGAATGTTACTAATATAATATTCACAACATAAATAATTCTTATAATTAGTCCATCAATACAGAAATAATAATGCAATTACAAAATAGGCATGAATTGCTAAATGAAGCCATCAATTTGTAGTCATGGGAGATTATATAGAATTAATAACTCTTTAGAATAATGGTGATAACAACTATAAGTTTTCAAAAATGCAGAGCATTACTTCATGAATGTATTGTTTTCTACCAAATAGCGGGAAGTTTCCTTGTTCTGAGCCATGATTAGTGCATTTTGTTTCACAACTTTCTTGTTTGACTTTTCTAACACATCGCTTCGTGCTTACTTGTCCTTCATCACTTGAATGAGTTCTAAATTGGCTATATCCGAAGATGATATGGATGAAGGGAATTTGATATACGGGTTAACCCACCAAAACAATCGTTTTTCGAAACTCTTTCCAAAAAATAAAATAAACTAAAATTATAGTTATAATAGAAAATAAAAATATTTAAATAAGTAACTCAATAACTAGTTTGTTGATATCGTTCTGTGGCAACATGTTTCTATATATTGGAAGATCTATCTTCGTACATCAAAACTTTAGTAGAAAAGATACCCAATTGTGACTAGACAGTTTTAACGATTTTACTGATAATAATTTCCTAAATAAGACCCATATCGTATGGTTTGTGTACATATTTATCATCAATATCAAATAATTTGAGGGAATATCATCATTTTGTTGCATCTATAAAATAGTATAATTTTAATATAAACTTATATAATAAATAGAGAAAAATAGTTAAATATATAAAAAACTTACAAATTCATCTTTCCGAGAATTAAATTGAAGGACCTTGAGTTGTAGGTATACATCATTTACCTCCATTGCGGTTGCTATGACGGTTACCCGTGTTAGTCTTGGAAATACCCTTATTGCTAACTAAATAATTATGTTGGTGAAAGACCTTAGCCTACTAGCTAATTTTGAAAGGCTTTTACACCCATGTCTGAGGTTCGAACCCCAGACTATGCAATTTCTTGCAGATTACACGAAATCTTGATTTGAAATCGTGGAGAAAGAGATTTATTAATGCAGAGTACATAAGAAAAGCATACAAATGATCTTCAACATGGTGCAAACAAATCTGGTCAGGAGATCTTCATAAAACAGCTCGGATAATGCAGTTAAACGTAGATACTCAGTATATTGTCGGTTATGGAATCGTATATGTATCATAATTTTAATATCATAATAAATCAGCGTTATAAAAATATTATGTTGTACAATATTCTAATTTTTTTTTTTTAAATTGCAACTCAGACAGTGCCTTTAAGTCTACTTCAAATTTTCGATTCATAATTCATACGTATGATAACTTAGTCAACTAATTTCTCCACTAAAGAAATTCTATAAATACCTATCTCCAACCTTCTCAAAGAATATAAACACACTACTACTTCCTGAGCTTTTCTTTTTGACTTTTTCCAGTACACAAACAAATGGATCCAAGAATTTCTCTTACAGTCTTCCTTTTCCTGAACCTCCTCTTCTTCACTTACACTTCTGCTCAGGTCATTTGTCCTAGAGATACCCTGCAGATCGATGCTTGTGCTAATGTTCTCAATGTAGTTTCCCTAACATTGGGAAATCCACAGCCATATTGCTGCCCGCTCATTCATGGCTNCCAGTACACAAACAAATGGATCCAAGAATTTCTCTTACAGTCTTCCTTTTCCTGAACCTCCTCTTCTTCACTTACACTTCTGCTCAGGTCATTTGTCCTAGAGATACCCTGCAGATCGATGCTTGTGCTAATGTTCTCAATGTAGTTTCCCTAACATTGGGAAATCCACAGCCATATTGCTGCCCGCTCATTCATGGCTTGGTTGACCTTGAGGCTGCAGCCTGTCTCTGTACAGCACTCAAGGCTAAACTTCTTGGCCTCAACGTTGACCTCACCATCTTTCTCAACGTGATCCTCAGTGGTTGTGGCCGAACACCTCTACCATCTTACCATTGCGTCTAAGTTGAACTTATGACATATAAAGACATACCTAAAAGACAAACAGATTCGTATGGTTTCAAATGCTTGAACTTATTTCCTTCTTTCTTGTTTCTTAGAATCAGTGATTGCTTTTGTGTTTGTAATTTTCTTGGATTGAATAAAATGATGAACGTCAGGTTCTCATGCAACATGGGTTTGTGTGTGTAATCAGCAATTTCGTACCCCTTTTCCTCATTATCCTCTTTTTGTAAACGTTTTTTTTTTTTTAACTAATAAAAGTATCAATCGGTGTTTTTGTCTATACTAGGCTTATATTTGTATAAACAATTAGGACAACAGATAAACAAGATGTCGCTGAAAACATTATACTTTAGTTATATAATAGTAACATTAACTAATAGCAAATACTTAAATGAGCTTAAAATAATTAGGCGCTAATCCTATTGAATGTTCTCCCAACCAAGACTGTTGTTCAAGAAAATGCACAAAAATGTACATAATTCTTTTCATGACAGACCCATGTTCTCTTTCCAGATGCGATAGTTGTATATATTTCTACAAGAAAAAATATCATATAACTGCCATTTTTAAGGAGATAGCAAATTCTTCGAAAATATAAATATTATGTTGCATGATGTATTTAGAATCATGTAAGCAAAATACTAAATAAATTAATTTGGTTAAAAATTATTTATAAGATTTCAAAATAAAGTGACGACTCGATATTCCTAAGTTTAGAATAATATAATTATATATTTACATGTAAATATATATACATGTAAATATATATATTTATATATATTAATGAACCGTGCTTGTATTTCTTTTTATAAAAAGTATCATATATAGTATATTTATATTATTAGGTGAATATATATTACTTATTAATTTATTGTATATATCACATATATATACTCGATAGAAATTAGTTTAAAACAATATATCTATATATATTATTAATTAATCATGCTTATATTCTACTTATATAAAGTATGATATATTGTATATTTATCCTCATATAATTATACAGTAGAGTATTATATTGATACTTATTAGTTATTCTTTTCTTTTATTTACGGCAAATAAAATTTATTTGTGAATTAATAAGTATAGTATCTAAA